TCTGTCTTGGTCAAACCAGGTCTAAAGTTTTATATCTGATTTCTCAGAGTGACTATTTAGGAAAGGCATTGGAAGCTGGAAAGTGTCCAACAGAGGGCAACCAGGATTGTGAAAGGCCTCTAGTCCATGGGAAGATTCTTTAAGGGAATTGAGTTGCTATATTTTGGAAAAGAGAAGACTCTGTGTGTGTGTGTGTGTGTGTGTGTGTGTTGAGGGTGGGGAGATGGTCAGCAATTGATTGTTACCTTCAAGCATTTGACCTATAGCCACAGAAGAGAGAGTGGGTTTGTTTTGGTTGCCCCAGAAGGCAGAATTAAAAGGAATGAGTGAAAATTATGAAGATCTTGGTTTAGACTTTTTTAACTAAATTTTTTTCAATTAACAAGCATTTATTTTCTCCCCTTCCCACCTCCTACTTCCCTTACAAAAAAAAAAGAAAAGAAAAAGAGAAACAAAACCTCTCAAAATAGTCAGGCAAAACCAGTTCCTACGTTGGCCATACCAAAAATCTATGTCTTGTTCTGAATATTTGATATGAGGAAAAAACTTCCTAATAATGAACCCTAGCTCAAAGTGAAATGGGATGCCTGGGGGGGTGAGGATGGATTCCCCAGCCCCTAAACACTACAGGGCAGCTAGGTGACACCATAGTGTATAGAGCCCTAGCCCTGGACTCAGGAACACCTGAGTTCAAATCTGGCCTCAGATACTTACTGGCTGTGTGACCCTGGGCAAGTCACTTCACCCTGATGGCCTCAGTTTCATCATCTGTAAAATGAATTGGAGAAGGAAATGGCAAACCACTCTAGTATCTTTGCCAAGAAATGGGATCATGAAAAGTCAGACACAACTGAAAAGCAACAGAACAACAAAAATCTACAGACAGAACCAATGGGTTATGTTGTTTATGGGGCCCGTATTCCAGAATGGGTTGGACTAAACAGTCTCTGAGGTTCCTTCTGGCTCTGAGCTTCTTTGGTTCTGTGACCAGAGAGGTCACCTGGCCAAGCCCACCCTGTTACTTGTAAGGAAGTGATCGCCCACCAGGGGGAAAGAAGGCCTCCCTTAAGGTCACATAGGTAGTTCGTGGCAAGGCTGAGATTCAAAATCCATAGACTAAATGAAATTCCAAATCCAGGTCTTTTCCCCCCAGCATATAGCCCTTCAGTCAATCAAGGACTGATTGGTTAGTTATTGGTTGATACCTCTGCTGTCATCAAATCCATTTTCCACAGTTGGTTTAAGCAGTGAAAGAAAAGGTTTTTGTAGAGCTGAGCAAAGTCCACACTGCTGAGCTGCCTTCTACCTGGGTTTGTATCCAGAGGAAAGGAAGGTGTCACCATGAAGGAATACTGTTACCGGAGCCTGACAGCTTGGGCCCAGGAGACAGTTAATCACTTCTGCTTTCAATGGGGAAGGAGCAGAAAGAGCTGGGGAAGAAACTCAGTGGATGAAGTATGGAGCTTCATCTTCCCTTGCCCTCCTCTCATCTTTCTCCTCACTAAAATCATAGAATTATGCAGTGTCAGAGCTGGGAGGGCCCTTAGAACACAGGATGTCAGAGCTGGGAGGGGCCTTAGAACACAGAATGTCAGAGCTGGGAGGGCCTTAGAACACAGATGTCAGAGCTGGGAGGGCCTTAGAACACAGAATGTCAGAGCTGGGAGGGCCTTAGAACACAGGATGGCAGAGCTGGGAGGGCCTTAGAACACAGGATGTCAGAGCTGGGAGGGCCTTAGAACACAGAATGTCAGAGCTGAAAGGGGCCTTAGAACACAGAATGGCAGAGCTGGGAGGGCCCTTAGGACACAGAATGAGATGGGAGGGCCCTCAGGACACAGAATGAGATGGGAGGGCCCTCAGGACACAGAATATCAGAGCTGGGAGGGCCCTTAGGACACAGAATGTCAGAGATAGGAGGGCCCTCAGGACACAGAATGTCAGAGCTGGGAGGGCCCTCAGGACACAAAATGTCAGACCTTCAAAGAAGGTCTGGAAAGACCTAAGAGCAGGCTTTGTTAAAGCCCAAAAGGATCTTAGAGCTTATCCTTCAGCCCCTTCATTGTGCAGATGAGGAAATGTGCCTAGAAGGGGAAAAGCCACTCCTCATGGTCAAACAATGAGTGAATGACCAAGTCCAGATTCAAGCCCAGGTGCCCTGACTCCCAGGCCAATGTCCCTTTCTCTAGACCACAGTCCCTCTCTCCCATCTTGCATCTCTCCCTTTGAGGTTCTAGTTTCCACCTGACTCTAGAACTAAAGCCTCCACTGTGAGCGTCCTTGGGCAGTGTCTGGTCCAGCCCGGTCACCTGTGCTCCATGCCGCATCATGCATCCCCTTCCCAGAAGCCTGTTTTCCAATTCTAGCTCTGAGAATAGTCATCAAACCACCACTTCCTTTCCTAGAAATTGTCAATCAAATATCTAAGAGGTCCAATCGCCATTGTCTCTGGTTTTCCTGTCTGAGACATTCCTCCATGGCCGCCATTCCCTTCTATGTGTGTTGCCTTTTCCTATTAGAATGCAAGCTCCCCAAGGGCAGGAACAGCCTTGCTTCATTATATCTATATCCCCAGCACTTAGCACAGTGCCTGGCATGTAGTAAGGGATTAATAAATGCATTTGTGCTCTCTCTGAATTATGAGTCATTTCCTGAGCCAGATGGCCCCGTGGATGGCAGCCCGTGTAACACCGGCTGCTCTCTGGTCCATCGCCCTCAGACACATTATGTAACTAACAACACGTCTACTTACCTATGATTATTCATAGAGCATATTTTTGGTTAGGTTTTAAAAATGAACTGTGGTACTATGGTCCACAAATTATCAGGCTAAGATCTCTCCATGGTAATGCATTCCTTATCAATTTATTTCTCATTAAAGTTTTTTATACACTGCGGTAAAAGACAGCAGTGAGCTGACAGTAGGACTTTATAATCTGTTTAATCAGGCATCAGTTTTCTAGAAGGTAACCTGGGAGCCTTTATGCATTGTCTTTCCCAGTTGTAACGTAAGCGCCTTGAAGGCAGCTCTTAGCACACCGGTACATAGTAGTAACTATTCATTCATTCATTCATTCATTCATTCATTCATTCATTCATTCATTCATTCCTCCATGTGGCCTTTTGCCCCAGGTCCAGGTAGGTGACACAGTGGTTAGAGCATTAGACTTGAAATCAGGAAGACCCAAGTTCAAATTCTTCCTCAGACATACTAGCCGTATGAACCTAGGCAAGTCATTTAACCTCTGTCTGCCTTAGTTTCTTCATCTGTAAAGTGGGGATAATAATAGCACCTACCCTGTTGTTATGAAGATCAAATAAGATGTTATTTAAAAAGCACACAGCAAACTAGTTGTTATTATAAACTATAGAGGTGTTGGAGGAGGGAGTTTCTTCATCTAGGAATTCCCTATCTCAATGAAATCCAAGGTCCAGACCTTTCTCTATCCCTATAAGTCATGGGAATGGAGTGTAGCACTGATCTGAAAAGGAACTTTAGATATAATATGAGTATTCCACTTCCAGGACAGCCAGGCCTGGAATCGAGAAGACGTGAGTTCAAATCTGGCCTCAGACACTTACTAGTTACCCTGGGCAAGTCACTCCACCCTGTTTGCCTCAGTTTCCTCATATGGAAAATGAGCTGGAGAAGGAAATGGCAAAACCACTCCAATATCCTTGCCAAGAAAACCCCAAATGGGGTCACAAAGCATCACACACAACTGAATAATAACAACCATTCTACCCCCTCCTATTACAAATAGGAGAAATGAAGCCCATAAAGTTGAAGTGACTTGTCCTAGGTCACCCAGCTGACCTGGCATTCAGACCCCAGGCTTCAGGCTCCAAATCCTTCGTTCTTTCTCCCCCACCATGGTAGCCTCTAAGGAGCTGGGCTCAGGGAAGGGGAAATGTGTGAGACAAATGTAATACAATGTGTGTGTGTGTGTGTGTGTGTGTGTGTGTGTGTGTGTGAGGCAATTGGGGTTAACTGACTTGCCCAGGGTCCCAGAGCTAGTAAGTGTCAAATGTTTGAGGTTAGATTTGAACTCAGGTCCTCCTGACTCCACGGCCAGAGCTCTATCCACTGCACCACCTAGTGGCCCCAAATGTAATACAAATTAAGACGTGGTGAGTGCCTAAGGACGGAGCAACCATGGATTAGAATTTTAGAAAGGCAGATTTGAGATTCACCACTTGGAGGGTGGGGGCAAATGTAACAAAGGGGAATTGTCTGTTGGACAGGGGGCTCTCTCCAGCTGAGACTCTGTGAATCTGCATTCAATCTATATTCATTCATTCATGTACTCCTCTAGTCATTTATGAAGTGCCTACTATGTGCACAGTGAAAGACAGCATACTGTAGTGTATAGTATTGGTGGGCTTGAAGTCAAGAAGAACTGGGTACAAATATGACTCTGACATTTACTAGCTGTGTGACTATGGGAAAATCATTTAACTCCCATGTCCCTTAATGTATTTCCTTAGGATTTACTAGTGCTTAGCACAGTTCCTGGCACATAGTAGGTGCTTCATAAACACGATTGACCGATTAAGTCAGAGATGGGTTAGGATCCAGTCTACATTGGTGGAGGGACTTCCTCAGCTAGGATAAATCACAGTACAAATGCTTAAGGGGACACACTACTCCACAAGCACAGAAAAGGGGAAGATCAGTTTTCTGGTTGGGGGAAATCAGGGAAAACTTTATGGAGGAGGTGACTTTTTGCAGAGTCAGATTTCATCAGGCAGAGATAAAGCACAGAGAAGAGAGTCCAGAAGAGCTTTCTGGGCACTTTGTAATAGTGCTGCAGTGAGATACACAACTTTCTGGAACACCAAGCAAGTGCAGTGACTCTCCTGCTCCAGCTGCAATACATCATAAACCTTCATTCATTCAATTAAACAGGGAAAGGACACTACCAGACCCTTCCACAAAATGACAAACGGATTCTGTATGCTTTGCCGGCAGACATAGGAAAGGAAAGGCTTTTGCTTTTATTTGCTTTTATTCTTCCCCTCCAATGGTGAAATGGAGCCGAGCCAATTCTGATGAAAAAAAAATCAATTATTCTCCTTTCAGCAAATTCCTTTGCAGAAAGACATTTCAAGCCGGTAATCCAACCCCCCACCCCCATTCATGGTGCATTCCCCCTTGGAGCTCATAGGCTCCAAGCTAAAAGAAACCTTTGAGGTCAACTCATCCAAGCCCCCATTTTACACATGAGCAGAGTGAGGGTCCAACAGGCAAGAGACTGGTCCAAGGGTGCACAGCTAGTGAGCAGCAGCAGAGTTGAGATTCAAAGACCCTTCAAAGGTTCCTGGGGAGAAAAAATAAAAATAAAATAAAAATAATTTTTTTTTAAAAAAAAAGGTTCCTGGGCAGTATTTCAAAGATTTTCTAGTAAGATTATCAAAAGATTATCTAGTAACTTTTTATAGATGAGGAGACTGAGGCCCAGAGAAGTCCCAGTGATTTGGCCGATTAGCCAGACTAACCCAGAGTCACACTGTCAGCATTATGTTTCTGAATCAGGGTTTGAACCCAAGTTTTCCTAGCTAAGAGGTTTGCTTGCTATGATCTATACACCTCACCATTTTTCATGACTTATAATTCTTACCCACATAATAATATATCTATATTAGTAATAATACTAAGTTTTGCAAGGTGCTATACGTATATTATCTTACTTGATCTTCACAACAATTATGTGAGGTCAGAATCATTCTTTTCCTGTTCCACAGATGAAGGAAACAGGGAAGCTAGGCGACTTTCCCAGAATCACATAGCTAATAAGTATCTGAGGTGGGATTTGAACCCAGCACCCTGAGGGTGCTTTGTATATGAGCTCTGATGGTTGAGTTAAGCTAAACTGAAATAATACAATTGAATCAATTCACATCAATGACCTGAGTCCCATTAGCTCCTCCTGAGGTACCTCACGCCCTTCCTAAGGATCCATGAGCAATTAACGGTTACCAGTTTCCCACCCTTTATGAGGAACCCATCATGTCACAATGTCCCAATATCTCATTGTTGGCTGCGCCTCCTTGTTTTGTGAACATAAGTCCTATTCCAGATGGGGAGCAAAAGCATGATATCCTGGGGCAAAGGCCTGGATTGGAAGCCACCAGGCCTGGGTTCAAACCCCATCTCTGCCACTTAATAACTATGACCTTGGGCCAGTCATTTCCCATTTCTGGACCTGAGCTTCTTCATCTCTAAAATACGAAGATTGGACTGAATGACCTCTCCTGTCTCTTCTAGCCCTATATCAATGATCCCATAGCTTTTTTGCACCAGACTTACAATTTCACCAGTAAGTTACCAATAAGGCAACCCCCCCTTCCAATGCAGAAAGACACTCTTAGAGCTTAGAATGGCCTGCTGCCACAATGCTTTCATTTTTGTCCTTGTAGTCCCCAGCACCCAATACTCCGCCTGACACATTTTTGTTGTTCAGTTGTTTTTCGGTCATGCCCAACTCTTCATGACCCCGTTTGGGGTTTTCTTGGCAAAGGATAATATAATGTTTTGCCGTTTCCTTTTCCAGCTCATTTTACAGATGAGAAAACTGAGGCAAACAAAGTTAAGTGACTTGGTCACACATATAGTGAATGTCTGATGCTGGATTCAAACCCAAGTTTTTTTGTCTCCAGAACCTATACTCTATCCACTGTGCTGTCTATCTGGGAGAGGGGAAAGGAGGAGAAGGAGGGAAGGGGGGAAGGAGAGAAAGAAGGAAGGAAGGAGAGAGGAGGGAAGAAAGGAAAGGGGGAAGGAAGGATGTACATTGGTTGAGGCACAAGGTGGAGAGGACCAGTAAGTGATGTGGGTGCCTGGTTCTGGCCAAGATCAGTGTAAATCCCATCTATCAGAACCTTGCATCCCAGGAATAGAGTCCAAAATTCAATATGGGAGGGAGGAAGGAGACAGAAAGAGATGGAGGTGATGGCTGCAGTGTAAACAGCACTAGTGCTGAGCAGTAAAGGAACCCAAGATCTATTATTTATAAATTTACTTATAAATTTAACTATAAAAAATTTGTAATTTTATTTCTCTTTAATCATATAATTATATAACGATTATAAAATTTTAATTATAATTATAAAAAATGAAGAGGGGAGAAGAGCCACAGCCAGGATGGTTCAGTTCGACTAATCCAACTGCACAAATATTTATTCAATCTGTGCAGTATTCAGACAGCCTCTGGCTTCAAGGAGCTTACTCTCTGCTCTTAGGGCTTGGGGTTGGTGGACTATGTTATCTATCCAAAGCAGCAAATAATAACCTAACGTGAGGACAAAGTGAATCCTTAGGATTGGGGAGATCGGGGAAAGTTTCTCTGGGGAGACAGCCTTTGAGCTGAGCTTCAAAGGAAGATGAAGATTCTGAGGAGGCCTAGGTGAGGAAAAGGGCTGTCCCAGGCATGGCCAGAGGAGCCTCTGCCTGCACACAGAGGAGAGAGAGAGCGTGCACAGAGTTTGGGAACTGCTATTATTCCCATTTGGCTGTAGTGTGGAGAGAATGAAGGGGAGTAATATGATGGTCACAGGGAGGTTGGGTTTCATGAAATTGCCGTGAAGAATCCTGACATTTCTTATTTTGATAATTGATGTGGCCACGCTGAAGCTTGTCACCGGGAGTGCATCCTTCCCGGGGTCCCCATAGTGCAGCACTCTCAGGGAGTGGGAGAAAAATCAATTTCCCCTGGCCGCTGGGTGGTGGGTGATTTATTACCATTTGAAAGGAGAAATTCTTTCTGTCCCCCACTCAGAAAAGACTGTTTTACAGTTTGCTATTGGAGAGAGATACTATAAAAGAAGCTATATTTGTCCAAACTGTGATATTTTGATAACTTTTCTTCCTCTTCCAAGGATACTCAGCTCTCCTGTTTTATGACACTCATTGACTTTTTGATTAAGGAATTGCAGATATTAACTGAAAAATCTATCCAGTCGGCTGGTCCCAGTGAGGCAAGTGGTTTAAATGGCCATATAGCCATCACAGAAAGACTTTTAATTCTGCTCCAAAAGGGCCGGGAGGAGCAAAGAGCTTTCTCCTTCAGCTTGATATGTGGTAATACTGAATGACTCAGAGCCACCTTCCCTCCTTCTCTCTTCCCTGGCAAAACATCCATGGTACAGAATGACATACTTTGCAGTTAGAACATGGCATCAAAGCTTCAACTTTGATAACAGAAACTAGAGCCTAAAGCTCCAGTGAGTCTTACTTGTGCAGTTCATTTAAGGGCCCTTCTGCTTTCCCCCACACAAAGATCTGTGAAAGGAAAAAAAAAAAGCTTGAGGAAGGAATGGCAGAAATCTGAGTGCCTTTCTGTATCCACACAGGAGGGCCCCACGCTCTTGTAAGAAACCAAGTGTGTCAGTTTCACGATTGAAATCAGCATCAAAGTCCTGGAGCAGTTCTCAGGCAGAGCACCTGCCTGGCAGGTCAAGCTCTGCGGCTGCCTAGGTCTGTGGTTTCACCTTTGTGGAGCTGCTTCGTCATCTGGAAAGGGAAGGGTTTGGATGGGCTAGTGAATAGGGGCGCTGAGGTCTCTGCAGCTCTCATCGCTAGCTGTTCTAACATCCCTCCGAATTCTGACTAGTTGTGGGTGATAGGGTCATGGGTTTGGAGCGAGAAGGAACATGAAGAGGTCTTGAGGTACCTCGTTTTTGGAATGAGTAAGCCCATGGAGGGGAAGGGATTCGCCCAATGGGACAGGCAGCAGTTTGCTCAGGTGGGATTAGAACGTGAGACCTGTGATAGCAAATCCAACCATCTTCTCATTACATCAAAATTTAGAGTCCTTTAACATTGTTCCTAGGAACCTTCCATTTCTGAGATTTTTGTGTTCTGAAGCCCCTTTCATCTGTGACATGATATTCTAAAGTTCCCTCCCAGCCTTGACATTCTCTGTCTTTAGAACCCTCCCAGCTCTGACATTCTATGTTCTAAGGCCCTTCTCAGCTCTGACATTCTATGTTCTAAGCTCTGGCATTCTCTGTTCTAAGGGCTCTCCCAGCTCTGACATTCTAGGTTCTAATATCTTTCCCGACTCTGACATTCTATCTTCTACGTTCTGACATCCCAGCTCTGACATTCTATGTTCTAAGTCCCTTCTCATCCCTGACATTCTGTCCTAAGGCCCCTCCCAGTTCTGACATCCTGTGTTCTAAGAGACTCCCAGCTCTGACATTCTTTGTTCTAAGGCCCCTCCCAGCTCTGACATTCTGTGTTCTAAGGGCCTTCCCAGCTCTGACATCCTATGTTCTAAGGGCCCTCCCAGCTCTGACATTCTTTGTTCTAAGGCCCCTCCCAGCTCCGACATTCTGTGTTCTAAGGGCCTTCCCAGCTCTGACATCCTATGTTCTAAGGGCCCTCCCAGCTCTGACATTCTGTGTTCTAAGGCCCCTCCCAGCTCTGACAGTCTGTGTTCTATGGCTCCTCCTACCTCTAGTTTTTTATGATCTTATTTCTTTAAAACCACCAGCATTCTCTCTGGGGAGAGATACAGCAGCTCTGCAGAAGACAGAGGTATGAGGGGTAGGAGGAGAAATCACCTCCAGTTGATTGTTCAACCTCATTCTTCATATAAGGCCCTACTTACATTTTCTTCAATGACCTTTGGCCTTAAGAAGGGGACCAGTGTTGGGAGCACAGAAAAGATGGCCCTAAATGTATCCAATGTGCCATCCCCTGGGTCTTCCAGGTCCTCCGTTGTTTACCCCCAATATAAGCTGCTTGGGGGCAGGGACTGTTTCATTTTTTTATTTTTATACCCCCGGTGCTTAGGACAAAGCTTGGAACACAATAGGTGCTTAATAAATGCTTATTGATTGATTACTTGATTGAAACCTACTTCATTAGCAACCAGTCTGGGAGGAGGATGGAAGGGAGTTAAACACATGAACTTCCCCCACCCCTCTTCTCATTTGTATTCCTCTGCCAGCAACATCTACTGAAAAGTGCTGAGATTTCTCCCATCTCTGCTCCAAGAGCCTCTGAGCTGGGCTGGGGCCAAGCATCTTTCTACCACCTCAGGAAATATCAGACTCCCCCCTCCTCATCACACCTTCACAGCCAACGCAGCAGCCCTGCTCCGGAGAAGATGGCAGTCAACGGCGGGAAGAGGAAAAGGTGTTTCTCTAACGTGACTCCGAGTTTCCTGCCAAGCGTTAGCATTTTTAACAGCCAAAGCTTCATCTCGATTTTTCTTATTTCCCCTCCCTGATTCCTGGCTTCTGGCTCCACCCCACCCACAGACTCAAAGAATCTGCAAGGCCGGCTTGTCCTAAACCTCAGCCAGGCAGCAAG